CCCCCCCCCCCCTAAACCCACCGCTCCGTTTATGATGCCGATTATGGCAGCTGCGACGCCCCGAGCTGCATTTGCACTCTCCTTCGCGTCTTCACTGTATCCTTCCGACGAGAATAGACTCCATACTTCTCAGTCGTATTTGTCAATCCGGAGACGCACTTCAGAGTGCCAGTTTGGGGACGTCCCAGCTGCACCACCTGGTGAAGCGACCCAGGCGCAAATAGCCGATCAGACGTGTTCAAGAACGTTTTTGAGTCCGGAAAGCAGCCGTGATGTATTCGGCGACGAGTATGACAGTCACGAGCGTGAGCCGTCTTGGAGCGGGAGCCTTTTTGGGCCGATTCTAGAGGATATGCAGAATGACGGCTCCGTGGTTGACGGCTCCGGGGTGTGGGTGCGTTCTTTCCCACTTTATATTATGAATACGATATGGAATCAACTGATGATGCTTTATACACCCGTTTGCTAATATATAGTCGGCATGATTCACAATTGACCCGTGTAGCCAACTCGTCGGGCGAAAATGACCCTCAGATCGAGATGAGCTTGAACTTCCCATTTTTCTTCCCTCCACTCATCGATCTCTGATTTGGCGGTAGAAGAATGGAAGGCAATCCACATATTCAGCAAGATCCAGCAGACTACCGAATTTACGTCATGGTCAATGGGCACTAGAAGCTTGAGCGGACTTAGATTGGGAATTTTCCAAACTCCCGGATGAATGTGTGATCATGTATTTTGTAGGTTTTCTTGACCTTTGGTGATTGTAGTGTTTCCTGTCCGTGTCTAAGCCAAGGTGTAGCAGTAACATACCCCCATTTTATTTGTCAATGGCCGTGGCCAAGCTTCTCAGCAAGCGGTAGTCACGTTTTCACGATTCTGCGTCTGTCAAATGATCCAATGTACCACCGCCATCGTCAAGGGAAAAGCTGATTCTTCGTAAAGTGCGGGAAAATTATTCATCTTCATTGCTTTCAGCAGCGGAAACTTCGTGCTGGCTGAGGCCTTCAGGACTAGTCGCACCTCTCAAACATGCTTTTATTAAGGGATGATCGATTCAAAGGACGACTCCTCCCCTCCGTTCTGCGGTGTCGAAATCTAATCTAAATGAAACGGTGCAAAAATAGCCCGTATAATCGAACCGATGGTGCTGCGAAATTCTAAACATACTAACCGGCAAAATGTGCACCCTCCCCTTGATAAACACATAAGTTCCAAACGATTTATACCGGTTGACGATACGGAGAGCAACCAATCGTGTTGAAGAAAGGAAGGCGTTGTTGCTAATGATCGTCGATGATAGACAGGATGACCAGACGATGGCCGAGAGCGTGATGCTTGTACACCATCAAGAATATGTGCACGGTGGGTTTTGCAACTTATTTTGTTCTATGAAGATATCATGGCAGTGACACGTATAGGGTATGCACATGTGTGATTGTCTCAGCATCAAGCATGTCTACAGATGGCGCGCTGATAGATTATCTTTATCAGCACTTGAGCTTTACAGTAATTACCCGCACGTAGATCCGCTAACACTGCATCTCCGGATGCGTGTACAGCAACATAGATCGCGGATCATTTATGCTCGTTTCGAGCCCTTTGCCGTCTCGAACTTCGTGAGCAAACAAATAAAATCTTATACCCGCCAAGAGTACTCACCTCTACGACAGCCTCTAAGAAACGGTGACATTGGGCTTAAAAATAGTGGGTGGGAGCATTTACCTAGTACCACGCCTAGTCAAGCAGATGATAGATTCTCGCGCATCTTCTATATGTACATGCTCTGCCGCACGGCATAAATACATCTGCCAGATGGTTTTCGGCGCTGTCAGGAAAAAGACTGCTGTGAGTACTCAGCTCTCGGGTCCCTGGGGGTCTGTGGAAACACCGCCTCTTGATAGTACTGTTGTCAGTGCATAATGTTCGACACGGGATCCAGACAGATACCTACCACTCTTCTCCAATGACAGACTGGGGTAACCTCAAAGAGTCTTGGCACCGAATGGCGAAGATGTGTGCCTTGACCTCAAGCTATGCGGGAACTGTCCGTTGAATGATTTTTAAATAATGGACTATATGCGCGACAGCAATGAGTTTCCAAGCCAAGGCCGTAGCCTCGCCTGTTCATTTCGACGCTATCCTAGTAAATCGGCCCCGCACACCACGCACAAACCAGAAGCGTTTCTTCAAATGGCATAGAGAGGTTATATGCGCTCATGCGGGACACGCCAGAGGGTGAGCGTAGTAGTACAGTCCAGATGACTTTAGCGCCGACGACCTACCCCGGGCCACCATCCGGCTCTCCATTTACGTTGGTCGTCCTAGAAACCAAAATCTATTCGGTGTGCACAACATGTTTCATTGTCCATGGGCCACAAGAAATGCAGAGCTCGTTCATTTACACGATGCGATTGGTAAAAAGAAAAAAAAAGAGACTATGTACGAGAGGGAGGTGAAGTAAACTCTATTGCTCTAAGGCTCCAGTCCGGAAGGTATAGTTCCACAAGAACGATTTGATCGCACAAATGAATGACAGACCTTCGCGCCGTCATCGAATGAAGAAGCTGTGCGCGATGGCAAGCGCACACGCGCCCGCGCATGCCAGGAAGCCCAGGGGATAACCCTCCGGGCCGTCTTGGACGCTCATGGACCATAGCTACGGCCGGGGTTGCCATCAGTCACCGTTCATTTGACAAGCTGTCAACTTGGAATTCAGACATACCGTGCCGCCTAAGATTGGTCCAGCGAAACGCGCTAAGCTGACGATACTCTGCGCAACGCCGTTGGCGAATCCGACCACATGAGGTGGCGACACTAGACTAATGTCAGCGGAGCCGCCACACACACCAGCCGAGACACGCACTGTAATTGAGTAAGACCGAAATCGACGTGTAGCAGAACGTGCTGCCGCAAAACCTGACAGCGCTACGTAGGCGTTTCATAATGTTAGCCCGTGCCTAATTTAATATGGTTGTCCAGGAACTTACGTGCTCAACGCGAGCGCTATACGTAACGAGATCGTACGTGTTAGCACTGACGTATACGATTGATGACAGGGACGGCATCGTACCGGCCATGAGGATCGGATTGCCGTCGGTGTTGGCACTTGCTAATACCCGATACATGATTACGGATAAATAAGACGGAATGAAAAGAAGCGATCCTAAGCGGAGCATAGCCAGGTGAGAGAAACGACCTCGAGGCGGGCTATGTAGCGGGAAGACATAAGCCAATAAACGCAGTTATATTAGAGAGAATCACTGACCCAATGTTGCTGAATGCGGACGATGACAAGTCAACACCAAGCGCAGTAATCAAGCAAAGGTAACACGCACGGATACAAATAGAATTGATATGCAATCTGGGCCAAGCACATAAGTGCAACTTGAGCGATATTACATTAGCGCAAGACCTGGCACGAAGTCAACGAATTCATCCTTACTCAATTGAGAGAAATGACCCGCGTTGAGGTTCAGGCCGCCCAACGGATATTTGCTGTTGAATAAAGCGCTTAGACCATTAGTAAAAAGCGGGAAGACGCGAGAGCACTGACGAGACAAGATACAGATAGAACACTTGGTCATGCGTCGTGGAGTGTAACGCCAGCAAGCCATATTGAATGATGATCAGGATTGGCAGCTGCGACATCAAAGAGGGCTCTCTCTCCAGCTCCTCAGGCTCGACGGCGGCCTCATTCTCCGTCCCCCCACGCCGAGACTCCAAGATAGGAGCCAAAGAATCACCTGGAGCCTGCTCGTCAAAATTCTGAAGCAGCTGCTGCGCCTCGAGGACTGCAGGAGGCGTCCGGACGCCCACGTGGGAGAAAATAGAGGGGACGGTAGTCGACAAGCGTCGATGCATGGACGGCAGCTCGTCGCCGACTAACGCTGGAGAATATTGTGAGGAGCGCGGTCGGAGGAAAGACAGGCGCCCCGAGCTCGAGACGCGCCGCGGCGAACCAAGTGGCGGAGGATGCCTGCTCCCCGAGAAGGATGAGCGTTTGAGTTTAGGACCAATGGTCGAGGTAAGCGATTCTCGGCGGGAGAACCTGTTGTGACGCGACGAAGGGTCTGCAGTCGTAGGGCCGAATATATCTTCCTCCTCGATCTCGCCCTCCTCGGCGGCGAAGTCCTCTTCTCCAAACGCCTCGGCATCGTCGTCAAAATCGGACTCGAGCTCGAAGGGATCTTCGTTGTCCACGTTCATTGCCGCTGCGACCCAAAGGTCGGCAATGTTCGTAACAGCATTCTCGTTGGCCATGAGCAGGCGCTGGGCAAAGTTGAGGTCGCTTCCGGTGGCGGTCCCGACAGAAGAGGAGAATCCATCTATGGTACTCCTGCGCCTGATGGAAAGTGCCGCATTCGATCTCGGCCTTGCGCTGTATCCACTTGACAGTCGATTCCTGAATGTACCGCTGTACCCATACGCTGAGCCATTTGCTCGGCTTGTCTGAGAGATCGGCCGCGGCTTGGTAATGGACGTGCGAGAGGGAGTGGAAGATAAGGGCAGAGACTCGTCTTGTACTGGAGAAGTTGCCGAGGTGCCTTCCTGCACGGGTTGTCCGCTCCGCACGAAGTAGCCAGAAAGCCGACCTGAAAGCCTCTGCTTGACGGTATCGTAAAAACTGTGTCGAGACTCTTGCTCATCGAAGAGTGGTGTGGTCGGCACCGCGTCTTCCTCTGAAATTGTACCGAACTTCTCGATTGGTAAGCGGATGGTTCCCTCCCGTGGGCCACAATCCGGACCGACGAATAAGCACAGAATGGATCCTGGACCACGAGATGTTACATCAATCCTGATATCCATGTGCAGTATCACGTACCCACAAAGGTGATGGATGATGCAACAGCACATGGCAGCAAATAAGGGTAATTGATGAAAAGCTCTAGATCGCCGAATACCGATGGCCACTTCTTGGCGGGGGACTCAACTTGAGAAGATATCAGTCAGCGTCTAAGATCTCACGAAATCATGGGCAAGCTCACAGGTTCCTCCAACGATCGCTCCAGCGACACCACCAAAACCCCAACAGAAACTACGCCACATCTCAGTTCGGTTGCGACATTATGTCAACTGGGGACGCTTACCCCAGAATCGCATACGCCCGCCCCTCATTGCTCTGGTCGGTGATCATTGTCACAGACCCACGCGCGACGCCGATAGCACCGGCGAATATTCCTTGCATTAGGCGAATAGCGATTGCCTGCTGGAGTGATTTGGACGTTCCGAACAGGCAGCAGGTCACCGCGCTCCCGAGGAGGGAGATGAACAAAACGAGTCGCTGACCATGTTTGGCGGCGACCGTGGCCTGCAGCAAACACGATTGAGGACGCATACAACGAGCGAAACAAACTCGGACTTACCCATAGCAGAGAGGTAAGAAATTGGGTTAGAAAGAACGTTGATACTGGCGTGATGTGTCAATCGAGAGCGCAAAGGGGATGGAACCAGTGACGCCTCCTCACCCAAGATGCCGGTCCAGTACCCAACACGAGCCTCATCCGAGAACTGGCCGAATCCTAGGAAGTACCACATCAGACGAGTGGACGCCAGAAACGAAGAGAGCATACCTTGCACCATGAACAGGATGAACGGGGCCGAGACGTTGGCCGACAGAAATTCGCCCAGCATGGTCTGCGAATCACAGTCAGCGGCATACAAAGAGACGTACATGAGAACACGGCATACAATCGAGAGGACGGTCATGGACAGCTTGGGCAGCGGAGTCGCGTACGATTCCCCCGGCTGCAGCGCGCTCGGTATCGCAGGCCGCTCCGGCGCTGCAGCGGCTGCCCCAGTCTCCTCATCCACGCCGCTCCTCCTTCTTCCGAATAGACTTGGTCTGTGGTTGAGAGTAGAGAACGAGACACGCCCCGAGACACGACGTGGAAGCGGTGAACCTCCTGGTTGGCCGGATGACTGCCCCGCGTCGGACGCGGCACTCTCATCTGGACCGAACGTTCTCCGAGGCGGTATCACCGTCGAAACAGGCCTGCTGGTGCTCATGATGGCTACTGGTGTTCCAGGACGACGGCGTTAGTCCCTGCCGCACAGCTGCACTGTCTCCGCTAGCAGTGGCTCAATCGCGTCGACTGTTCAACATTAGCACCGAGAATGGACAGACGAGCGGCACGGAGACTGACGGTGATGTACAGGCTGCTGCAATCTCTTGCAGATGATATAACAATGCTGCGTAGAATGTTGTGGTTAGGCAATCTGTCAAGACTTAAGAGTGAGGGCGTCCGCTGAGTGACTTTGGCTGTGCCGCTCCCACTCCCAATCGCGGAAATGACGATGCTTATGTCAGCACGTGCGGCCGACTGCGCGACCTCCGCCAGTGGCGGACGCAACCAGGCGACTGACCGCCAGCTTTGGCAACGAACTGAGCTCCTCCTGCTCCAACGCCTCTGGATGATGCTACTCAATGTGCCTCCCGTTCTTTTCGCTTCATACCTGCATCATAATCCTTCCCAAATGGCCCACCTCAGCCGTCCACCCGCTGCGATTATCCTGGATATCTTGTGCCGACTTGGCTATCTGGAGCATCTTGCTGTGCCAGGCGGTACGTCCGCCCCCGTCAGGACTACACGTCTGAGGTGCGTTAGCAGATACAGCAGCATGGCAGCCGTAACGCGGTGCGATCCGGCCCCGCTCTCCAGTGTGCGATCGATCTCGCCGTGGCGAGCCTTGTCGACATTCCAATATCACGACTAGACATGTGCGTCGCAGACCGCTTGGACGGGCGTATCGATCCGTGTGCAAGTTTTTCGGCTCCGAGAGTAAGAGTGCGAAACCCATGCCGTCTGGCACCTTTGTGGCGACGCTCGTCCGCCCACTTGCTATACGTCTGAGGATAATCCGAGGAGTAGTGGTCCTGAATTCAATGACCCAGAGGTGATGCTCCGCACTGCAGGGCCCGATCCTCTGCGGATGCGGAACTTGCACGTTGACCAGATATGCAGAACACTCGTAGTTTCCCCCAGGGATAACCTTCTGGTGGTATCGAGCGCCAGAGGAGCGGATTCTGTGTGCGTTGCGTATGATCGTGCCTTCCATGCCCTGCTAACGGGATTCTATGGACGATGGTCTGTGCATTGTGTCCTTGAGTGAGGGCGCGATCATGCCTTGTCGCTCAATTGTCAAGGCCCTTGTTCTAGATGCATACATTGTGGCAACCATCGACTCGTATTCATTCTGCCAGATAATCGCTATACGCAAGACCACTGGAACCACTCACTCGGTAGGCTGCTTGTTCTCCTCTCACTGTTACCCTTTGGCATCCATCATCCAACGACTTCATCAGGGAATTGATACTGAGCGACTCTCGGTGGCCACCTCTTTATCCTCTCAGTCGTATCGATCTCTTATGCCAGGCTGGACGTTTTCTGCTACAGCTCACCGTTGTTCTAACGAACCTAGACAGGACCCGGCGTCGCCGCCGCTGCGGGGTGATGTAGGAGTATCCATCCTGGTTGCGGAGACGACCGCCACTCCCGGACTCTTTGTTCCGCATGCCCGTGTATTCCCTTTCAGCCGTCTCCGTCGTCAAGGGCAGTACTCTTGATCATGAACATCACATACGACGAGCGTGGGTGTCTAATAGCACCCGTCGCGAAGTTCCACTCCTTCCGCGTCGTGGCCTCTGTCGAGGCCGTGCCCGCGACCATCAGGAAGATCGGGAGCGAGCTTATGCGCACATCCATCCCGTAGGCAGAGTGGAATCCTCCTCTACTCGTTGGTTGCGCGTGCCTACGATCGATACACAGCCACGCATACTTGTTCTATCTCCGTCCATGCTGCAAACCATCTGATTTCACACCTCTTGATATTGCATGCGAAACTCATCAAAGTCGAGCAGAGAGGCCGGACCTGCATTTGATCCGAACACCCATACCGCAGTACTCACGGCCATCTGCACATTTCCCCATACCGCGCTCCATTTCGGCGGCATGTGCATTGTGTTGGGCTAAAGTAGATGTGCGCCTAGCTCGCACGGTACTGATATGGTTCAAATTCGCTACTGACAAAGACATGCACTTTGCAGATGCGGCTGCAGGGAAGAGGACCCAGAGACTCTGTGCTTGGTGTGGTTCTAGGCCCGGCTCTGAGGCGCCCGCGTAGGCTCGCCGTCCGCATCATCGGCCCCCGTCTCGGTGGGGAACATTCCTCGCTGTGAGGGCGCATCAGGTCCGGGCTCGTGAGGGCCCGCTCGAGTGTTGTGATTGGGCGCCGAAGGGGCATGGGTCTGGTACCGTAAGTCTGCAGGTACCGCTGTCCGAATCGCGCGGGCATGGCAGGCATGAATCTCTCCGTTACCATCTCGCAGTATTGAAGTGCTGGGATAGATCTCACATTATCTATTCTCGTCACATCTTGTTGATGGGCCAGTCGGATGCGAATTGAGAATTCCCGACCCCGGAGGGCTGGAGACTTACGTTGCATGTCAGGAGCGGGCCCGTTCCGGAGTGAGGACGGCGGGCATATGGTTTTTCAGGATCTCAAAGTGCTGCGGCGTATTGTTTTTCAGGATCTGAGTGCTGCGTGGTCCTCGCATCTCTGCATCTGCGTACCCCTGACGCCAATGGAGCTGGATCTGAGCTGTGTGTGGTGTTTGTATCTGCCAGATTATCGCTCCATTTTTTTTACTGACTGCCGACGTCAGGTAGCAACGGCTTTGTGTCACATTTAGCACGCATCATCACTCTATACCTCCAGAATCCACCCACAGTGGTATGTATCACGAACCGCAGACCACATTTGTATTTCTCTCGTCGACGGTGCGGCGACGCTCGGTGTGCCCGATATTTGCGAAGCGGTGCTGGAAGCTCTGGGGACTGCGAGGCGCGCTCGGATCGGTGTCGAGGGGACGGGGAAGAGCTGAAGAAGACGAGAATTCGCCGCGGTGCGGGCTTGGCAGCGGGTGAAGAAAGAGGAGGCGGGCACGCGGATCTACTTCCGCTGGGAGCGTGACTGACACTTTGTGTCGGGTGGACGGTTTGAGCGCGCCAGGGTCGAGTTGACGGCATGCCGATGGGTACGAATTCGTCGTGGTCGACGGGTAGCCGAGGGCTTCCCAGCGCCCGAGGCGCGGAGACTGGCGCGGGACCCGCCCTGCGCCCCCGCGGCGGTGGCGGGGGAGAGACACAGGATCCCAGGGCGGGGACGGAGGCCGGGTGGAAAGTTCGTGGACATGGGCGGTGCCGGAGACCAAGAGGGAGGTAAGTTTGGGTTGACGTTGCTGGAAAGACGGAACAAGAGAAAACATATGGCTGGCTGCTCTTTCTTTCCGTCTGTCGTGTGTCATGTCAGGTGGCTGTGTGCCGTTCTCACGGATATTTTGTGCGCGCGGCGAGGGATGCTGTCAGGCGAAAACCGCGGTGCCGCCCGGCGTTGGCCGACGTGCGCTGTCGCCGCACAGGCGTTGGCCAGCGTGTGGCGGCGTCCACCTCCTCGCCGTGCACA